TCTGAGAAAGTCTCTCTGTCTAACGCACCGGCAGTAACCAGAGCGTAATTATTAGAAAAAGAGGGTTTCAGGTTAAAAGGAGAACCCTTGGGGAGCTGTAATGTCACTTTACCGTTGTCACCGGAGTCCAGGTCTCGAGCACTGATTAAAGCTACCACAGTACCACTTGGTGCGTCTTCAGGCACAGGGTTCGGTTGGGAGGTCAAAAATATATTCGGAACATTATCGTTAACGTCTAATACTTCTATGTGTACGGTGCAATGCCCCTCCATTCTCGGAGTTCCTTTGTCTCTTGCGCAAATGTCAATTTCATAATTAGCATTTGTTTCGAAATCTAATTTCCCTGTCAGACGTATTTCTCCTGTTAACGCATCAATATCAAACACAGACAGGACGACATCTGGTGTGTGCGTTCCAAATGAATACTCTATTTCTCCATTTAGACCTTCATCTGTATCCTTTGCTGATAGTTTGACGATGGATGCACCCTGTACACTATTTTCGCTTATGGAGACTTTGTAAACATTTTTGTCAAATACAGGAAAATTATCATTAATATCTAACACATGTATGGTTATCTGGGAAATCCCAGATTTCACTGGATTCCCGCCGTCTATAGCTGTCAGTTGGAGCTGATGTGTGGGCTTTTTTTCTCTGTCGAGGGATTTAGAAAGAACTAACTCTGGGACTTTCCTTCCACCGGACACGTCTTTAATTTTTAAACTAAAAAAGTCGTCTTTACTCAGAGTATATGATCTTACTGAATTCACTCCCACATCAAGATCTTGTGCGCTCTCCAAAGGAAAACGTGCTCCCGCCGCTGTCGACTCTGCTATTTGTAATATTATGTCTGGCGATGGGAATTTTGGAGAATTATCATTTATATCTTGTATTTCCACCTCCACTCGGTACAACTGTAACGGCTTATCAATCACTACTTGCAGAGTCAACACGCAGCTGGCGCTTTGTCCACATAAAGCCTCTCTGTCTATTCTGTCATTCACCACCAGCTCGCCCTTTCCCGCATCCACATTGAAATACTGCTCACCAGCTTCAGGCGCGACGCGCAGTTTACGGTCAAAAATCTCTGATAATGTCAAACCCAGATCTTTGGCTAGATTTCCGACCACAGATCCCTGTTTTAGTTCCTCCGGAATGCTGTAACGAGTCTGTCCGTCTATTGTAATCCACAAGAGAAAGAAATGATGCCACCAAAGCGCCTGCCATCTCCAGTCTCGGTATCCTATTGTCTTTGTCATCCCGGATTCGGAGCTTACAATTATTTCCCAGTGAGGTAACAAAAAAAAGGATGGTTACTATCCATTGCTATAACGCATTAATTCAAAGCAAGGATCCAAAGTCAGCTCATACGTAAAAATATATATATACTTTTGCTTTAAATCTATGAAGAGCATCACTCCCTCTCATCCAGCTCCTTGCAGTGTAAGTGTTCACGGTGCTGCGGCTGCACGGGGGAGGGACTAGATCTCTTTGTACAGTTCTACATTTCATTGGTGCACAATATCCATCTCTGTCATCCAATGGGAAGAGAAGAGAGGGAGGTTTTAAAGACACAGCGGTGCTTGAAATAGTCTGCCTCCAAGTCTTAAATAGTATGTGAAATAAATGACAGGATGCCAGCAATTGGTCGTCACCAATAGTATTAATGCAACAGACGTGAGTACCGTTGACAAAAATACAAACGCT